TCCTAAGTGAAACATACTTGTAACGAATTTTTTTCTCATTCTGCCAAAGCTTTGTTTTGTAACATTTTCTTTCTACCGCTAGGGCCTTTTAAGCCTCGAAGACTATTGCATTTTTGATTGTAAGGAAATGAAATATTAATTGAAAAGAAATGGTGAATTTTATAAATATTGAGGTTAAAGTCTACATATTAATTATAATATCAAAACCTTACCGCAAAATTACCGCAATTTCTAACGAAATGCGGTAATTGATAGGTAGTCGACCATGCTGATTCCGAATATCATAGCCGTTTTTGCCCATAGGCCTTTCCTAACCCGGTTCTGGAAAACTGCTTTTCCAGAAACCTCGAAAAATCCTCAAGAGTTTTTCTAAATAAGTCACAACTGTAGCCTGCGAAATTCTGATAAAAATGAGACATTTCTCAGCTCTACATGACCTTTCTTTGCAAAATTATAGAATTCACAAGAAAAGCCCTAAATTAATTTCTTATTTCTGTAGTTTTGAGCTGACAATGAACATTTAGGGCTTTTCTTGTAAATTCTATAACTTTGCAAAGAAAGGTCGTATAGAGCTGGGAGATGTCTCATTTTAATCGGAATTTCGCGGGCTACAGTCGTGACTTACTTAGAAAAACTCCTGGGGATTATTCGAGGTTTGTGGAAAACCAGTTTTCTCTCCTCTTCCTGTATTGTTACTTTATTTTCTCCCATACACTCCGTCCAGTATTTTGAAGAGAACTGACGGCAAATAATAACTTTAAAATCATGGAGTTCAGGATATGTCTGTTTTACCTGTGGATCTTGGATGTTAAATGATGAAGTATCACTTGTCACATTTTCCCTTTATTGTGAAAGAGTTTATTGAAATAGCATTTCATTACGTCCCATAATTTTTTCGTATAACTATTATCTTACTATATAACTCTTTTCTATTTTAGTTCATTAGCAGTGTCATTAAGAAAGAAAGAAAACAGTAAGCATGAAACGATCTGAAAGCGATGAATGTCTTACTACATACATTCGAACAGATTCAGAAAATTGTGATACCGGTGAAAATTTTGTTAAAAAACTAAAAGTTATCCCATTTCCATTTGGTCGATGCTGTGTGTGTCAAGATAAAGCAACCGGTGTACATTATGGAATTGCTACATGCGAAGGATGTAAAGGTTTTTTCAAACGTAGTATATTGCGACAGGAGAAATATCGTTGTTTTTTCGGCAATACATGCGTTTTTAATGGTGAAACACGCAATCGTTGTAAATCATGTCGGTTTAAAAAGTGTATCGCAGAAGGAATGTCAATGGAAGGTAATTCTTTTTTTAGTTAAGGCTATAATTTTCTGTTCTTTTTCACACCTTTTCAGCTGTTAAAATGGGTCGTATTCCAAAAAGAATTAAAGAAAAAGCTTTGAAAGAACAAGAAGTGAATTTTGAATCAGAAAATTCAATGGCTGACTCAATAGCAGCTGTACCATCATCAGTGAATGACGAGTGTGAAAATAATACAAAATCTTTTAAGAGTGACCATGATTATCAAAGTGAAATTATCGAATTAGAGCCATCAAAACTTGGTAAGCTAATCACACTTTTTTGTTTCATGGTTTGAGATATATTTCAATTGTCTCCTTCATACAAACTTATTGTAACCAAGTTCTTGAAAAAAATAGCCAGAAATCAAGATCTTGAATTCTTATTCTTGCGCTTAGACTCTTGGGAAATGAAATTTCAGGATCGTAAATGAAAACTTTTTATATCGTTTACAACAGTCACACTCTTCCATGAACAAACTATAAGGAAGAATATAAAATAAATTGGAAAGATCTTGGTTAACGAAGTCAACAATTTTCAAGATGTACAAGACTTCTTGAAATTTTTTCACATTTTCTAATTAAGACCATCGTTATAAAGTGTTTCATAGGAACTAGTCAACTCGTAAGCTTTATATCAACATTTAGTGCACTGTCTGGAGCAAACAAAATATTATCTCGATAAGAACGTACAGCGAAACTAATGGTTCACAAAACTCAGAACCTACAGGATTAATAAAATCGCCATCTTCTGAAAACCATTAATAGCTTATATCGTCTAAACTGACTGAAAAAGAAATAGATCCTGATAGCGGATGCAAGAAAGTTTGTGCATAAATGCGTTCGCATGTTTTCTACTATACTTAACTCAAACTTTTCCCAGATGAGTTTTGTACTACTATTCATCCAAATGAAGATGCAAGTTACCAACAAAAAAGTGATAGTAAGGTCAGGTTCTAACCATTTTTGAAGAATTCGAGGCATCTTTGCATAAAAAAAGAGATTTTAAAACATTTTAAACAGTGGTGTTTTAAAAAGATTTCTAGAAAACCTGTTCATGGTTTAGAAAATTGAATTAAAAATGTAGCGAATTTTCTTCACGAGCAGATAGTCCAAAGTATCTTCTTTAAAATAAAAGTGAAGCGAGTCCTTGGTTTTCATCTGTGGAGGCATGGCATGGCATATCAAAAATAGTTCAGTTTGAAAAAAGACAAAATCATTCGCAGGTGTTGTTGTCGCTTTTCGTATTTCTTGTACTCGACCAAGAACGTTGACTATCCATTGTCGAGAGGCGTTGTTTGAATTCATGTTATTTCACAATAATTGCAACTGATTAGAAAAACGAAGCAAAAATCCTAGTGCAAAAGAAAAGAAACATTTGTCTTTTTCTCGATCTACCATAGCTTTTTTAATCTATCAACCGTTCTTCCTTTTCATTGCTCTTTCTTCTCCTCAGTTTTTAGTATTCGGAAGCGCAAAACGTACCTCGGAGGAATTCAAGAACGAATCGGGGAAATTTTGACAGCATCAGCAGAGGTAAATAAACAGATTTCTGAAAACAGAAAAAAATAAGAACGTTTGAAAATTCAGTTTCATGCCTTTTGCCGCCAAAAAATTCAAGTTTTTGTTGTATTCATCCAATTTTTGCTGAGAAGGAACAGAAAGAGCGCATTTCATTGCCCGGAAGTTACTCTCTACCTTTAACAGATGTTTCGCAAGTGCCTCGCACCACTTCTAAGCTGTGCACCGAAAAGCTTTAGTCGGGTAACGACCCAATTAAATAAGGAAGCATGACAGTTTGTTTCTTGATTTTACTCTCTCCGAATGAGCTAAGTAAACAACTGTAGCTTCCACATCGGCCGAGAACTCGCCTCATTATAATGGTTCTAATATCAGATAAATCAAAACCTTTATGCACTTATCTAGAAATTCCGATAACTCCCAAGAACTATTATTCATCCTCTCTGCTCTTACGAAATTTCTGCGAGTACATAGGAAATCCTGTGTAATCCATTCATGGAAAGTAGTGACTCCCCAGAGATTTCGTAATTTTCAAGGATTCCGTTAGGGATCCTCATCAAGGAGATTTCATTAGGAAGATTCGGCTAAGGAACTACTTCGAAATTGCAGAATATACTTGATTTGAGTTGTTCTCATGATGACCATAATAAAAATGCAAAGGAACCGTTTTCCTAGGCTGGATCTTTGCTCAGATCTCCGGAAGATCTTGTTGATACTAAGCTCACTTTTTGTCTTTTTTCCTGTTAGCATTTATATTGCTACGAGTCTTAACGGAGAATTCGATTAGGGGGAAGGAAATCCTCTGCCTTTCTGAAAA